AAAAAATATAAAAAATGCCACATGGGCAGAATTAACGGCTCAACTTAACGAGAGGACTAAATAAATAAACACGGGATTTTTGGCGCAAAATGACAAAAAGAATGATTAAATAAAATATAATAATCGGTTCTTTCAGGTGGACTGGGCCTACTTATGCGGTTGATTGTTTCTTGGGCCTGAAACCATTCACCTCTCGACTGGGCTTCGGTTAGCAACCAAAACTGTGGTGCAGCCCACTCAAACCTGTTTCACACTGAATCACTTGTTGCAATTACGGGCGGTTCCAGATACATAGCCGGTTTCAGTGGAAAAGTTCCACCCACAGTAAGAGCTGATGTAATCTATTTTGTTGGTGTTGGAATAGGCCCAACACCCAAACAGGGCTGTGCATAACGGGCCTAGGTTACCACCCATTAGCCCAAGCTGAAGGAGCATCAGTACAAGCATACCCACGTGACCAACGCCACGTGGGCCAAGGGGGTGCTCACACATGCAGATGTATGTCAGCACCAAGGGGCTATAAATACCCCCCTAACTACCTCTGAGGAAGGTAATTAATCTCTACGCTTCTCTCTCTGCAATTACTCCTTGAGAGCATCTCTCTCTAGAATATTGAGTATTGCTGACTTGAGCGTCGAAGTGTTTTCCCCGAGGAAACAACCTCGGGATTTTCAGGTGTAGAAGTAGCTAAGGATTTCAACAGTGTTGGACTGCGAAGTTGCCCAAACATTTGGCGTCGTCTGTGGGAACCGAGCAAGAAGTCGTGTGGCTTTACTGGCTGAAAGATAATATGGTTCGTACTTTTACAGGAGGTCGCCCTCCAAGAAATGAGATGGACGAACAGGAGGACGCCCAAGTATCTAAGCCCGGATTGAATGACTTTAGGCCAATGCCAAGAAACCTTTTCGTCGGGGGAGCCGAACAGGATCACCTAAGTGAAACAGATGATGAAAGAACACCGACTAGGTATGCAACCCAGCTTGAACAGTTCCAAGTTCCAACAGGAACAAGACAAAGGCCCTCTAGACCATACAATCCACAGCATAGACGACCCGAAAAGTCAACAGAACCTGCTCGGACAACCGAGCTCGAAGAGAGAACTAGAGTTCTCGAAATGGCAATGGGTAAAATGCTTGCCCGTCTGATTCCCGATGATCCCCTGATCCCTTTGTTGAATAGGGATGCACAACCAGCTGCAGTTGTTGCAACTCGAAACTCCCCTGCTCTAAGCAACATCGTAGTGCTGACCAGGCCAAGGGGAAGTGGAAAACTAAATAACGAACCCAGCTCGTCCAAGCATAGTGAAGAATTGATGAGAAAAAACGCAGACCTTGAAAGGCAGCTGCGGGATGTACAGAAATCCATTGACGAGCTGAAAAGTCCCAGGTCGCACCAACAAACCTTGGATTTGGATAGTGCTCCGCTGAACCTATCCATCACAGCAGAACCATATCAAGAGGGATTCAAAATTCCCCACCTGGAGACATATGATGGCTCGGGCGACCCGGATGAACATCTACACACCTATCAAGCCATCATGAGGATTCAAAATGCCAATGATGCCATGATGTGCAAAGTGTTCCCAGCGACACTGAAATCAACAGCCAGAAGATGGTATCACAAGCTCCCCAGACATTCTATAGACTCATACTCTCAGCTCGCCAAGCTATTTTTCAACAAATTCGCGAGCCAGAGAGAGATCAAACGCACAGCAACCGAGCTGATGCAAGTTAATCAAAAGGAAGGGGAATCTCTAAGAGACTACATGCAGCGATTCAACAAAGCCACTCTGGACATTGACAACGTCCCAGACACCATCTGTTTGTCTGCATTATTGCATGCCTTGAAGCGTGGTCGGTTTCTAGACGACCTGCTAGAGAACCCACCTAGGACTTGGAATGAAGTGAATGACAGGTCAGCTAGCTTCATATTATCAGAAGATTTCCAGTCGTCCAAGCGACGAGCTGACGATAAACAAAGCAAAAGTTAGGAACAGCCACCGAGAAGGGAAGAAAAGAAGAAACAGAAAGTCGACGAGCAGTGGGGGAAGCCCGCTGACTTCCCAAAGTATGCCAATTACATTCCTTTAACCCTGCCAAGGTCTCAAATCCTTGCGCAAATCTAGCACTGGGTTAGGAGACCCCCGCCTCCATTGCATGATTCCCCAAGAGCAGATAAGAGCAAACATTGTGACTACCATCGTGTGTATGGCCACAATACAGAAGACTACCAACACATAAAGGATGAGCTGGAGTTTCTGGCTCGCAATGGAAAGCTAGAACGATATGTTCAAAAGCCCCACGCCCAGCAACCCACTCAAACTCATTTTGGACAGGGGTACGACCGACCTCAAGGGCAGAGGTACCAGCTCGGCGGGGCACAGAATGTATATCAGGATAGCCAGTATCCTTCTGACCAAGGAAGGGCGTATAGAAGGCGTCCGTTCAATAGGAAAGGACAAGGGCAGAGGGCTGCTGCCTAGAACCAAAAGGATAAGAAAGAGGTAGGCTATGCTGGGATACCCCCGCCCTCGGGTACAATAAACATGATATCAGGTGGTGTTCACTTTGGGGGCCAAAGCGCCCGAGCTCGCAAGGCATATGCCCAACAGATGATGACTGTAAACAAAAATAGACCCTTGAAGCGGCCGTTTGAGGAAGCAGAATGGGAGAATACGCCTATCACATTCAGCCCGGCAGATTACAAGCGAGCAAAAGAAGAGCCTGACATTATGATGCCCCATGCAGATCCCTTTGTGGCAACGGTTCATATAGGCAATCATAATGTCAATAAAGTGTTCATTGACACTGGCAGTTCACCAGATATCCCGTACTGGAGTTGCTTCCAGAAGATGCAGCTAAATTCGAACTCGCTGCAGAAGCACGAAGGCCCAATATACGGGTTCGATAACCAGCCCGTGCCGGTTGAGAGAGTTATTACTCTTCCTATATATGTGGGCTCAGAACCGCGCTTCAGGATGGCTTCCGTCACCTTCCTGGTCGTTATGATGGAATCAGCTTTCAATGCTATATTAGGAAGGGCCACCCTGTGCGAGCTGAAGGCTGTTATCTCACAGCCCCATCTCTGTATGAAATTCCCAACTCCTCAGGGGGTAGGAGTGCTGAAGGGGAATCAGAAAATGGCTAGAGCCTGTTATCAAGACACATTCAAGAAGGTCGAG